TTCCCGGCCTCGTCATACCAAAAGGCGTTAAAAGATGGTACTTGTTGTTACCTTGTCTGGCGCTCGGCATTTAGCGCCTAAAACAAGGACTGGTCAGCTCTGAGTCAGTATACTGTGTCTGAGTTGGTGACTGTTAAACTGCGGCTTGGTATCTCAATCGGCATCAGTCCGAACTAGTGCAAGCAACATACACACACGTACATGCACGTCGCTTGAAGGGGGAATCATCTTGGACTCGACGTTTAACCCCATTTCGCCTCACCTCTTCGCTTAAAGAAGAGTATAATGACTGAGAAAGTCAATATATGTTTGTCGTTTGTAATTATAATCATATTGCACCTTTTGGTGGAAAGGACCGTTACCGTTTCGGGAAATATATTGTGGATATTTGGTTTTCGTTTAACCGCGCACTCAGCAAAATTCTAAATCAATGACGGCTATCTGTAAATTAAGTCTAAACCAGACAGACAAATGATTGATGTTATGACCAACGATCCACGCCGAAAGGGGGATTGGGGAATGTTTACGACAAGTATAGGTTGCAGAGGACAATTGGGCCCGGGAATCCCCATGGGGACTCCATGTTGTGTCAATTTAAGTTCGGTAAGTACATGCATTCATTCATCATTTTAGGCCACCATGCCTATCTGTGCGATCCCTCGCCGACACTGAAGACCTTGGAAAGAACGAGAATCGAATCTTACTCATTGAAAGACTTCAAAGATCCATGCGTTGATATTGCCAAATTCGAAGACACAATGTACTTCTTGACTACGTCAAGGTAAATGAGTTGTCATTGCGGTAAGAGGAGATATCCTTTCTTTGTTTGTTTGTTATTTAACGCCGCACTCAGCAATATTCCAGCAATATGAAGATGGTCTGTATATAATCGAGTCTGGACCAGACAATGATAGACATGAGCATTAGTCCCTGCAATTTGGACACGGTGACCGTGCCTCAACACACGATCCCGTTAGTCGCCTCCCACCACAAACATAGTCGCCTTTTACGGCATCATGGTATCAACATTAGTAGATAAATGCTGTTCAGAATGCAAATCTGATCACAATTGTACCACATGTTCTACAAGAACGAAATCATAATGGGGTCCTGAAATAATGTTTCAGAGAAAATAGTTGTATGCCTTGATAAAGTGACGGTTAAACTCCCAACCCAATATATTAAATGGTCGGTTTTTTAGTATTTAACACTAATCTTTAGAGCAAGCCTGAAGACTTTTGGGTTTTTTCACCTATCAAGAAATCGACATTTAGCTAATCTTATTTGTACTACCTTTTCTTCTCATAGGAAAGTAATTAGTGAGCGGCATAGGAACAACTACGTTTACCATGTGCTGCAGGAGTCAGGAAGGATCACACGTGGAGGGCTACAGGTAAGTGTTGTTTTGTACATACCGTATTCGACGCAATAAGCGCCCCGCTCTAAAAGCGCCCACGGCGACATTTGCTAAGATATTGGCAAGTGAACAATCCCAATCAGCACCCCTTCCGATTGATGAATGTACACAAGACTTATTTATTCGCGTAAAATACGCACTTGTGTGTTATATGCACCCTTAATTATGGGCCTTTAATTTAGAAAAATATATCTGTCGTACATAAACATTTCAGGCTGACAGCATAAACAACGAAATTTATGTTTCAACCTGACAACACACGAGAACATATGGTATAAGTCTAAATAGGGAATTGCACCGGGTATAATTTTTGTCTGTGATGCGTTACATTTTGAAATGTCCTCCACCTGTCTACCATAAAACTTTTTGAAAGTTTTACCTTAACTGTTGTAAACTGGATCAAACAACATTTGGACCCGTAAAGATCCGGGGTAGAATAGGTCTTCAGCAACCCATGCTTGCCGTAAAAGGCCGCTATGCTTGTCGTAAAAGGCGACTATGCTTGTCGTAAAAGGCGACTAACGGGATCGGGTGGTCAGGCTCGCTGACTTGGTTTATGCATGTCATCGATCCCAATTGCGTGGATCGATGCTCATGATATTAATCACTTGATTGTCTGGTCCAGACTCGATTATTTACAGACCGCTGTCATATAGCTGAAATATTGCTGAGTGCGGCGTTAAACAATAAACCAACCAACCAACCAGCCAACCAACTTGGTGACATCGCCGGGCTGCCGGCGGTTTCCCTGTTCTAGATGAACTGCTTCTTAACTAACTTTCATGTTGGTTTGCAGGCGGTGCCTTCCAAAAGAACCCGCATTTCTTCAAGAGGTAAATGAATGTCTGTGTACTAATCATGTAGTATAGAGGATTGCCTCAAATAAACTGATTGAATCTGTTCTGTGTATCAGTGGTTTTTTAATCTTTACCTTTCACATGCCCAATCGCGTGGATCGATGCTCATGATGTCAATCACTGGATTGTCTGGCCCAGACTCGATTACTTACAGACCGCCGTCACATAGCTGTAATATTGCAGAGTGCGGTAAATAAACAAACAAACAAACAAAACCTTTCACATGCATGTCTGATTCTGATTAGCTGGGACCCTTTATATTATTCTCAGTATGCCCCGCTAATATGTATGGTACATTCTTATAACCCCCTCAGAAATTACGAAACTATTGGCATTAAACAACATTAGCAATATCTTCGTAATGAAACAGATCAAGTGGAATAACTCATAGAGTGTTTTCCGTCACAAGGTTGCGTTACATGCCTAACTGTTGTATTCTTAGCGATTCGGACTGGGGACCATAAACTAGCATAGAGGGTACATCAACCCATAACATAAACTAGCATAGAGGGTACATCAACCCATGACATAAACTAGCATAGAGGGTACATCAACCCATAACATAAACTAACATGGAGGGTACATCAACCCATAACATAAACTAACATAGAGGGTACATCAACTCATAATATAAAGTAAAATAGAGGGTACATCAACCCATGACATAAACTAACATGGAGGGTACATCGACCCATAACATAAAGTAACATAGAGGGTACATCAACCCATAACATAAAGTTTCATAGAGGGTGCATCATGTAAAATTCTAAAAACGTTATAAATGGCCTTCGCTCGTCAGATACCACAACTATTCACGAGTTTCATTAAATTGGTTTTACACGGGAGTGAGTTTAGTATTTTATTTAATTCTGGCCATTTATAACGTTTTTAGAATTATACAGTTGAGTGTGAATAGGCTGACACCTACACGATCCACGGCATAATCCAACTGAGTTTAACCCTCTAGTAACCAGCGTATCACCAGTGATACACAGATTCTAAATTCTTCTGAGTCAGCTGAATAAACATATGAGATGTAATCAAATCCTTCTGTAGTTTCACAAGTTGATATATTTTCAGATCATATTTCATTTTGTAGTGAAGTCCTAATTTTATATCTAACTTGGCACTTCCTGTTTTGGTCTTCTTGACATGTGCTCATGGTGCCAAAAAGGGTATGACGTCAATCCATCGACATCCAGGAAAAGGTAACTTAAATGTGTATATAAAGTATTGTTTTCGATTCTTGAATAGTTTTGTTTATAAGTAGATGTCATTATTTGGTGAAAATAATTGTATTTTGTGACATAAAACCAAATAAAAAACATCTGTATCACCAGTGATACAATGGGACATGTTATTTTTCTTGTATCAGCAGTGATACATTTTGGATATTTAAAGAATCTTAGATTTATTTGCTTAGGTGGTGACACTTTCAGGCCCAACTCATGATAATAAAAAGTTACCAAATCAACTGACACACAATGAATTGTGAAATTCAATTACATTACTGTTTGTCTTCAGAAAATCGAGAATATCCTTGAAGCTGATCTTAGTGGTAGTGAGTATGAAACATCCTCCGACGAGTACATTCCGACATCAGAAAGTGAGTCGGAAGATGAGGTTGATGTTACACCAAAAAGAGGGAGGCTGTAAAGAATCATAAGTCATGTACTACCTTAACTTTGATGACTGGTGATTCGTCAGACAATGAAAACCTGCCTTTAGCCGAAATAAGGAGGAACCAGACAGCTGACTCTGAATCCGATGATGACATTCCAATTGCTCATCTCCGACAACGATACAAAGCAGCACAGGAGGAAAAGGAAACAGAAGAAAATGAATTGATTTCACAGTTGCTTGATACTCCCTTTTTGGAAAATGAAGAATTCTTTCCCCCAGACCCCACATTTAAAGGAAATCTTGAAGAACCTCCGATAGATGGACGAATCAAAGAACCAATTGAATATTTTACCGAAATGATTACTGATCAAATGATTGAAAACCTTTCACATCAAACCAATCTCTATTCCTTACAGAAAGATGGCTTATCTGTCAATACAACTTCTAGAGAAATTTCAATTCTAATTGGAATTTATCTCCGTATGGGTTTGGTCGTTGCTCATTCAGTGCAGGCATATTAGGCTGTGGAAACTAGATATCCAATGGTAGCAGATCTCATGTCAAGAAACCGATTTCAGAAACTTGTTTCTTCCCTCCACATGACAGATAAGACAAGTATCACTGAAGAAGATAAGCATGACAAGCTTTGGAAGCTACGTCTGTGGCTGGAGGCCTTGAAAGAGAGATGTAAGGAGATCCCACAAGAAGAACATAGTGCTGTGGATGAAGTTATGATCCCGTTCAAACGGAAGTCCTCGGTGAAACAATACATGAGGAACAAACCTCACAAGTGGGGGTTCATGTCGGGCAGAGCTGGGGCCTCAGGAATATTGTATCAATTTGAGGTGTACCAAGGAGCAGCCATGAATGTTAAGGAACGCTCCCCACTTGGCATGACAGGTGAGGTAGTCATACGTATGACATCAACAATTCCTGAAGGTCTAAACTACAAGGTTTTTGCAGACAATCTTTTCACTTCTCTAGGTTTGGTGGACCATTTGAACAAGCAAGGAATCCTCTATGTTGGAACAGGGAGGATGAACAGGCTGAAAGGGTGTGAACTGAAAGACCAGAAGACCCTGAAGAAAGAAGGTCGTTGAAGTATGGACTCCAAAGTAGAGTTCAACACTGGTTTGATTGCACTGAGGTGGTATGACAACCGCACAGTTGATCTGGTTTCATCCTATGTTCGAAAGGAACCTGTGCGTGAAGTGAAGCGCTTTGACAGAAAGGAGAAGAAGAATATCATGGTCACCTGTCCCAAGATAGTACAGGAATATAACACATTCATGGGAGGAATAGACCTGCTGGATTCTCTGACATCTCTGTACAAACCTGGAGTCAAATCAAGGAGATCGTACATGTACATCTGGTTCCATACCCTCCACATTGCATTGGTTAATGCATGGCTTCGCTACCGCAGACACAGCAAACTTCTTGGTGTCCCTCATCACATGAAGCTTTTTACATTTCAAGGACGCATAGCTGGCAGTTTGGTGTCCAGGAAGCAGACCGTTGGCCGTCCTCGAGCTACTGACTTCAGTCCTCCACCATTACGCACAGTAAGACGTGGTCTCTTGCCTGCAGAAGTCCGTTTGGACCAAGTGTCTCACCTTCCTGAGTGGGCTGTCAAACGTGGACGATGCAAGAACAGGAACTGCACATCCCTCACATATGTGATGTGCTCTAAATGCAGAGAGTATGCATGCTTTGTCAAAGAGGGGAACTGTTTTGCACAGTTCCACATTTGTAAATATACCCTTGTAATTGATCAAAAGAGCCTGTTTCAGTGAGAGAAATAACCTGCATGTGTTTTGTTACTGTTTGGATTCAGTCAGAGACTGTCTTTGTGCTTCTGCAAAGTGTTTCAGGATTTGTCGTTAATCACTGAAAGTGATTATACAGTTTGCATTTCATTCAATTATTTCACTGTATTTATTTTTCATGTTGCTCAAGATTTCTAGAGGAAAAATGGTTGTGTTCATTCAAGAGAAAATGATAGAATAATAAACCAAAATAATCTCTTATCTATGTTTTAGTTGTTATTATTTAGATGTTTGGCATGAGTGCTGAGTTCCAGTACGTATCACAGGTGATACATGGCAAACCCAAAGCACTAATACCCATCGTATCACAGGTGATACAAACAAAATTTTGTAAACAATTGAACAAACAGTGGAAATCAACACATCTCTGTCTTAGTTTGACCACAGGTGTGTCAAATTTGGATTTTAAGAATTTTTGGACAACTAGAAATAGTTCTGGTTACTAGAGGGTTAACACAGTAATACTTCAAATACGTCAAAAGTTGAAACGTATGAATTTAATACCATCCAACGGTCCACCTTTAGAATTCAGGCGTCCGTTCCACAAAATTATCGTAGCGTTAAGGTTATCGCAACTCATACACTTTAACTTAGACCAACGACTGTCGTTGCGCTACCGTACGGTTGCCTTGTGGAACGGGGCCTTGCACCTCAAAGTTTACAATCACGTCACAATACCCGATGACGTAATTTGTGGAATTTTGTTGCAAGATCCTACGGCGAAACAATGCCATGTGACGTCAGCCTAGCAACAAGGTTGCTGTGGTCATCGAGTGTGCATAAGCTCCTCTCAGTGATCTATCATCTCCACACGCAATATCGTTAAATAAGCCAAGGGATTTTGAGAGCTTTCAATATTTGTTCGTGAAACGTGTTCCGAGAGTACATCGGTGCACAGGAGTCCGTATCTAAAAATAGACGCCCTCATGCATATTCATGACCATCTCCACACGCGAGCCCGAAGGGCGAGAAGGAATGCAACAGAAAACTACTGCAGGGCCCGACTCGATTTTTCAACAAATTACTACGAACGATAGATTATACCCACACTGACACTACAGTTGCCGATTGCTTTTCTAACTTGTGAACGGCATTTTCGCCAGTTTGGTACGTTAAAAACACCCACCTATACATCACAATTTAATTAAAATATATACAGGCATCGGACACGAAGCTGAGTCCGTCTTTCATACTTGCACGACTTCCGGAATGATACGGACTGAATGAAGACAAGGGAGCTAATCCCAACGCTATTTACCGCACGTGCTCACTGGATCCGATCTCACAACTGTTAACCGACGACTTGAAGATGAACTTGGAGCAGAAAGAAGCTTTGGATATCGCCCTATCCGGCCACAATCTGCTTATAACGGGACAGTGCGGCACCGGAAAAACGTATACGCTGAGGTGAGAAATTCATTGCATATTCTTTTGCTTGTAACGAATATTGAATACTAAGACCCTCTGTTTTCGTGCATTGCGAACAAAGCCCGCCAAATATACGGCCTTCTAAATTCTAGAACGCCGTGTTTTGTAAAATCGAGTAGAAGGTAAGTATTAATTTCAGTACATTGCAATGTTTCATTAGTATAGCATGCACTAGTGACATACACTTATCTAAACTGCGATGTGTGCAGTCATTCGAAATTAGCACCAAAAAAAATTGAAACAAAATTTATAAAAAAAAGTATATACAGATCTATACATAAAAGTTCATAATATGGAAAAACAAACATTGTAAAACAAATCAGTAAAATGCTAATACCATGAATACTATTGGTGAATTTCTTCATATATTTGAACCATCATAAACAAAACAAACACACATTTTGAATATATTTATATAATTCCAAAAATGAAACATACACAAAGAAAACAACAAAACACTTTGATTGTAGCTGAAGGCCTGTTTCATTGTATTATAATGACTTGTCATGAATGACTCTACATCTACATAAGAAGTAATCATAAACATGAAATATGTCACAAAATATAAAAAAATATTGAGACAATGTCAGAAAATATGGTATTAACTTATTGCAAGGGACGGAATAAATTTCAAAATAAACATTTTCTACATACAACAAAATTGAGCAAGCACCCTGCGATCTAAAAAAATGTTAAATTTTCACAACCTACTTTACTAGTTTACAACCCTCTCATTATACCTAAATCATAAATATGCCTAGCGGCATAAATGTGTCTAAATATTAGGAGATAACATTGATTTTGTTATACATCAAGTGCATAGCTGCACATAACAAACAGTAAGATGAGCTGGTAGTTAGGTTCTAAAATTATTTAATAATTTATTTATTGTAGTCGTTAAGTATATATATTTACTAGCTACCTACTGTTTGTAACGGTGTACATGGTGTAAAAGTGTAATATGACGACTAACTAGCTACAATTGTACGATACATGTACTACAATGGTAATGTCAGTGAGCATGAGAAATGTGGCTACTGTTAACAATCCATAGTTGTATCATGATATAATATTTATACTAAGTTTTCCTATATGCTGACTAATTCCCCCAAGAAAACCAGCACGCCATTTGGGCGGTTTTGTTCATCACGTAACAGTCCATAATAGTTGGTACAGTCCATGCAGAAAATAGAATACTCACTGGCAATTATAATACATAAACAATATTAGTAATGATGGAAAAACTGACATTACTTGTGGACCAAAATGACTGATAAAAACACAGATACTTAGATATGTTAGTGGACTAGCATTGTTCATTGCACAAAGATTATTGATAAAACAGACACTAGCTACAGTTTTTAATACTGAAATGGCTTTGTTGAAGTTGCACAAAAAATATGTGAAACTCCCCAGATATTTGTTATAGTCAAAAGTAGTCAACTGGCTTTATGGTCCAATAATAACTGATAAAACTGCAGGTATTTGCACTACATTTTATAATAATGAACTGGCATTGTTCATAACTCATAAAACAATAGATACTAGCTACAGGTCATAATACTCAGCTGGGATTGTTCAGCGCACAAAATAACTGTTAATTAAGTGGAAAGTAATAAACAGGTATTAGCTACAGTTATAATACTCAACTTACATTGTTGAAGTCACAAAAACAAAAATAAAAAACCCATATATTTGTTATAGTCAACTGGTATTAAAAATAAGATATAAAACTACAGTACATGTTACATCTTATAATACTGAACTGGCATTTTTATGGCACCAAAAAAACTGATCAAACAACAGGTCCTAGTTACAGTTGATAATACTGAAGAGGAATTGTTCATGGCACAAACATAAGTGATAAATTGCTAGGGAATTCTTTTGAATATTAGTACTGAACTGATTACATGTATTTGAAGACATAAATGGACGATACTGGAACCATATACAGATATTTGCTACACCCAATAATACTGAAATGTCTGATTTCATTAAATGTCAAAGCACCTTTTACAAATTTTACATTTTAGCCTAAATGGTCATAAATTTGTGATTACTTCACAATGAAGAGTCCAATGTTAAAAACAAGTTAACAATACTGAACAGGCATTGAAGTGAATTTACAGTTATAGTATTGTCATAACAATACTTAACTTATATCAATACAATAAAAAACACTAAAAAATAACAAGACTAACATGTTAACATCGAACTGACTGTTCAGGAGATAAAAACACTTGACACTGATCCATGAGAAATAACAAAATGGAATGTCTTTTTCGTTCCAACCCGTTCTATCCACAATCTCAATCATGTGATTCAGATCATGAAGATAGCAATAAACAAGTTATCAACATAACACAAAAAAACTGTTCACAAACCAATATAAGACTATACACTTGCATGTGGCATATCATAGAGTAAACAATAATTTGGTTGGTACCAATGTCTATATCATTGTGGTAGGTGAGTATTCATGATAATAATTACAACCATTTTCTTTTCATGATCAACCTTATAATTGTCCGAGCACTTTGTGCCACTGGGTTTAACAGTCAGAGATTAGATTGTGGAGGCTCCCACAAATCTGGAGCCTCCACGCTCCCAGTTCAAATCTTTTCCAGTAAGGCCCAATCTTTGTGATTTCTGCATGATTAAAGACAGGTATTTACAGAAACATGATCAACCAGGCAAATGTCATCTGGTTGCATTGTAGACATAAAATTTTGCCAATTATGTGACTACCGTAGATGTATCCATAGGAGAAAATGTGGTAAAATATTAGCCTAAAATGCCCCAAATTGGCCAGGTTCACAGCCAAAGTTGGTACAATCAGACAATTTTCAAGTAACCAAGCATACTCTTAAATTAAATATTAACCATTTTTCTCTCTGTTTCAATTATTTTTATCATAGTTCCAAACTCAGTGTTGGTGTGGGAATGATTAAACGGTTAACTTTGGAAGTGTCCACACTTCCACTTTCACCACTGATTGTCACTTCCTGTTTTGTTAAATTTCATGTAGTTTCCCTTTTTATAGCCCATATTGCAAAATAATCATGGCCAATTCATGATTGTAGTGTCACCCATACTTACTGCTTTATGCTGGATTCCCATTTCAAACCTTCACTTGCTTTTTTAAGGCATAATCAGGAAATATCTGCAGATAATGCTATGTCCAAGACTGTTTATGACTGGAACATGGAGGCTTCCAGGTGGAGCTTCGATGCTCCCAAAGTAGACCTCCTTAAAAACATTCCCACACCAACAATGATTTTGGAACTATGATAAATGCAATAGATAAAGAGTGAGAAATTGGTGAACTTTAGTGTAAGAGTATACTTGAAAATTATCTGACAGGGCTAACTTTAGCTTTAAAGTCGGGCAATATCTGCCAATTTGAACATGTTTTTGGCTAAATTTTACCACAATTTCTCCTTTCCAGTCTGATCTTGTCACATAATTGGTACAGTTTTTTGTTCACATTGCAACCTGATGGCATTTGCACGTTTTCCTTGAAGCTTCTGTAAATAATTGTCTTTATTCATGCAGAAATCAGAACAATACATAACTGCAGCATGAAGTTTCAGCTTGAAATGAGTCAGTTGGTCTTTGAGCACATTTTTCTCTTCTTAGACGGCCGTAAAGGCCCAGGTGTTGTAGCTCGAAACATGTGTGATTTTGATCCACTGTTACATTTGTTGGACACTGTACTTTGGCCTATACAGACAGCATTCACAGCAGGGCCATATTGAGACAGGGTTGGATTATTGTTCAAGCCATGGCACACACCTCGCTGTTGGCAAAAGAAATTCTCCACCAAGTCTGAATTGAAATAGCCTGGATTAATGGTAGCGCCATTTGGTATCAGATTTTCACACACAGATATGAAGCCAACCAAGGAGGAGTTAAAGTCATCTCTTGTCTCTCTTGTTAAGAGGTGTTTCTGATTTGGATGTTGAGTAGAACTTGTAATCTGATCTTCCCACCCATTGAAGAACTTTAAGGCTTGTCGGACATGTGTTAGTCTCTCGTCATGAAGGCTTTTGACGTGCCGTGTTGTATCATGAAACAAATCCACAAGGGGGCTGGTAATCTTCAATAGCTCAATAGTACTGTTAAGAGAATCACCATCAGGAAGAGACCTCTGATACAACTGCATCAGGTACAGCATGTTCTTGTCCAGTACATCTGTAGCTAACTTATTCCGCATCTTGTTGGCTGCTGTTAGTTCAATATGTTCTGTGGTTAGTTTATAATGTACCCGTAGTCCATTTTGGACATTGAATCTAAAGGCCCCTTCCCAGTGTTCCCAGATGATGTGCTCGCTGTTAAGCAGAAGGTAACGTCCTTTTGAAGACTTGAAGTTTAGTTTGCTGGACTCCAGGCCATTTCTGAGCTTTTTGAAGACATGTTTTATATCTTGACACACGGATATTTGGTGGTGATCAAAGATATTCGTTGTCTGAAATAGGTCTTGTCGTAACAGTGATGGTTTGGTACCAAGAAGCATGGTCTGAAATGCCCTATTAGTGGAAGCTCCATCCAGCATGACATAATCAACGATGAAGTCGTGATCACCCAAGGCCTCTACAATCTTCCAAAAGTTGAAGTATATTTGATGTGACAACCCTGGGTTGGTACCAAAATAAGCTACTGGCCATCTAAAGCCATACAAGCCATGAAATACAAATTGCAGGACATGTGTTGCCATTTGTACACTCTTTTTCTTCTTGATGAGGATGTTTATGTTGTTACATAATGGCCCGACATCAACTGCACCAACAAGGGACCAGTCACTCCCACGACGGACAATCTGAAAAAGAATCCCATGAATGAGTGAATAGCAGAAACATTCTTCCTGGAACAAGTAAAATTCCTCTTTAGCATGATCATGGTTTCAAAAAAAAGCTCACTCAGTTGTTCAGAGAGTAATAATTGTAACTCATGTGTCATAAATAATTTCATTATCAAAGTTTTTTGGTTATATTGCAGTGTTCTAAAGTTCCAATCCCGCTTGGCTGTATCACTCAAACACTCTAGTTGTGCAGCCATTCCCCCTTGCAGTAATTGGCCAATGTGATTTCTGTGCTAATTATTGAAAATGGCACTGAAATTAAGAGAAAAGTAGCTTTGGGGTCTGTCATTTTATTCTTACCTGCAGATCATCTTGAATTTGCATTTCGTCCAGGAGCAAACCACCATGACGACCAAAACCCTCTATTCCATTCTTCTTGGCTTCTTCTTCCATCCAGGTAAGATGCTCCTCATTAATTCCTGGAGACTGCTTGACAGAATTCTTGTAATATTGAAGAAGGCGCTGGGATGGTAGGACAAGGACGCCACTTCCTTTGAAGTCGCTATAAGCCTTAGGAGATTTACAATACATAGATAGGCAGATCGTAATGACTTTTGGATCCCATCTCCGACGATGTACATCCAATCCTGTTCTTGCATTTTGAACCTGAGATTCCAGTAATATTTTGAAGTTTGATGGCGCATTTGGTAGTTCTGATTCTAATATTTTTAACAAATCTTCATGATCTTGTGGAACCAAGTTAATAGTTGGTAGGAGGTCACTGGTTTGATCACAGTTTGCTTCACATGGTTCAGGCAGAGGAGGAGTGTGACATGGGGTCTTCTGACTTTCAGTTTTCACCTTGTGTGCTTGTGCATTGTTAACGATACACTTGGCCCTCTTTAAATATCTGTTACATTTGGCACATCTTTCACCAACAGACAGACAGTCAAGTACAATGTTACAAGATTTGGACCTGATGTGAAACGTGTGGGAATTTTCATCATGAACAAGGGACCAAGATTCCTTCACTATGAATGATGGTTTATATGAAGAACTGTCATCCACCACATTCCCTTTGCACAGTCTGAATTGTTGTGTGGCATAAACAAGGTCATTAATACTTTGATTGTTCCTGGATGGATTGCGTTCAATGCCATGATGCACATGATCTATGACATGACCTCTGATGACTAGTTGAAACTCTTCCTTAAATATGAATTCTGTATATTGGAACTTCCCATTGATTAAGGTCTGCAGAGGATACTTCAGGTGCAATTTCTGATTGTTGGATAAAACAGTGCATTCTTGTGGAAGTTTTACTAGATCACTACATGATTCTCTCGGCAGGTTATATCTGATTCCTAAATTGTATGTTACACATTGGATTCCATTTCTGTATTGTCGCCGTCTTTTTACATCTTGAAAAACTTTTGTGATTACATTAGAAAATTTGTCTTTACACAATAATCTCACACTTGAGTCTTTACTACAACTTTCTGAATAAAGATGATGTAGTTGATCAACTGATATGCAGCCTTCTTCTCTATATTCAACTGTTTTTGTTAACCTAAAAGCAAAGAGAAAAGTACAATGAAGCTTAATGAAAACTAATATAACTGTCAGACCTAAAGTAAAAAAATGTGTGTTTTAAGCAAAACTGAATGGCCACTGTGCATAACTAAACTTATTAAAAACATTGTTTAAATCAAGAGATTATTCAGAATGTCCTCCAGCATCACTGGTAGTATATACATTTAATGACCATGTGTCAATGTTTAATGTGATAGAAAGTTTGTTGAACTGCTGTTTGTTGAATATCTGTATGCACTGATATTATTTGCACATAAATATTCTAATTTGGGCTTTTATTTATACAAAAGAACATGAGCAACACTATGGTGTGTTAATACATTGTTAGCTCACCTTGACAAATTCAACATGAGTTTAGTGCCATGATGCTCTGATTACAAAACAAGTGCCATGGTTATGTAAAATGTCTTGTAAATGTTACAAGAGCTTTCTTTGTTAGAGGGGTGAGCTTCAGTCTTCAGTTTTTACATTAGTCTTAATTTTCAAATACAAAATCAGGTACAAACTTCAGGTTGAATACAGCTAAGAAAGAGATTTGAATTATTTTGAAAAACATTAACATTTTTGGTTTGGTTTGTATTTTCATTATCTGCATGAATGAAACTAAAGTTCTGTTTGCTTTACAGGAATATCATCAAGGCTCTCAAGTCAGCTGGACGGAAAGTGGGAATAACTGCTGTCACAGGTCTGGCCAGCAAACAGTACCAGGATTTGGGAGGAGAGACGCTGCATCACTGGGCTGGGCTGTTCGATGGAAGATTTTCCAAGGAGGAGGTCCTTACTAACGTACTCAACAATGATGCATATGGGAATTGCCTCAAAAACATAACCCTTTCAGAAGTTCTCATCATTGATGAAATAGGAATGCTCAGCGCTAAACTGTTTGAGGTTCTTGAATATGTATGCAGTCATTGCCGCAGTAAAGAACATTGGTTTGGTGGCTTACAGATCATCGCTTGTGGAGATTTCAAGCAACTTCCTCCAGTTCCTGACCACTTTCATAATGATCCAGGACTTTTCTGCTTTCAGTCATGTGTGTTCAAACATATATTTCCTCACCACCTAAATTTCCAAGAAGTGGTTCGCCAGGCTGAAGCGGATTTGATTGTCGCCATCAATGAACTCTGTAATGGACACCCATCGGAGGAAACTCATACTTTAATGAAGAATCTCAATAGACCACTCAACACAAACAAAAGACCAACCTTGCTCTTTGGGACAAATTTTGATGTAGAATATGAAAATCAGATGGCACTGCATGAAGATGGGGAAAACATAAGATGTTATAGAGCGCTGGACTCGGGTGAGACACTGTTGCTGCAGCGATGTCAAGCGAAGAAGAACTTACAGTTGAAAGTGGGAGCACCTGTTATCCTCATAAGAAATGTGAAACATTCTTTGGTGAATGGTTCAAAAGGAACTGTTCTTTCTTTCACAGACAAGGGTCCAGTTGTTGATTTTGATGGCCTATGTGTACTTGTTGAACCCCTCAACTTTGAAATTTATGACTCTAACCAAAAGAAAGTGCGAGCCAACAGAAAACAGATCCCTTTACGCCTTGCCTTTGCTTTGACAGTACATCGAGCTCAGGGTATGACCATCGACCCTCTCATAGTTGATTGTGAAAGCTATTTCCTTCCGGGACAACTTGGTGTAGCTGTAGGGAGATGCATCAGCAAAGAGGGTCTACAGGTGAAGAATTACAAGGAAGATGTTGCATCAAAACAACACACAGATGAAGTCTATCATTTCTATGATGCACCCTTTTTTCCAACAATGACTGACCTAACATGCTGCAAGAAGGACAGAAACTACAATGAAATGAAGGAAACCGAAAGTGGAGATGATAGTGATGGTGACGATAGGGATGTGGATGATGCTGCTGAAGATGAAGCTGAACCATTAGTTGCGCAGGCACCTGCTGTAGAAGTTCCGGAACTGACGGAAGATGATAAGACAAGAACTCATCTGCTGCTGGTTGACTTTTTGAAGACTGTATCAAAAAGAGATAAGCAGAAAATTATTCTGAATCCATTGGCAGCAAATCTTCAACAGCACTTTGTTGTTTTGGAACGTCAAGTCAATAAGCTCCTCAGTCAGCGGTCAGGTACGATTATTGACAAAGCTTCTCAGTGGCAGGAGGCCTGCACCAAGTTAACTACTTTTCTAAATTCTCCAGAGCACCTGTCATTGTGTAAAAACCTCAGTCATTGTGATGAAATAACTGTTGAGAAGAAAATATCCTCAAAGTTGACAATGTGGATTATTGAGCGAGAGGTGGAAAAACGAGCAAGCATTGTCACTTCTGAACAGAGAGAGAGTAATGTGGTCGATGTAGAAGATACGACAGAGGTAGCGAGGGCAAAGATCAGACATCTTGCGGGGGCTTGCATTCATGCAGTCAGGAAGCGCCTTCGTTCTTCAGTCATGACTAAACTGGATTCCTTGACTAAAAAGTGTCGTCATAAAGGTAGCATGGATTTCCGAAAACAGAAGTTTATATCTCAGCTGAGAGTGTCGGAAATGGAAGTGAAAGAACAAACAAAAGATCAATCCAGCCTGTCAGAAATAGACTTTAAACAAGGTCAATCAAGGGGTTTAATGTATGTTGCCGACAGTACCTTCAATTTCTTCTTAAAACTCCACAAATCTGTGCAGTCCAATATCACTGTGAACATACTCCATCTACGTCATGATGATATTCATCGTTGTACAAAGGAGGCAGTACTCTCTGATCCTGAACTATTCAGTGACTGGCTAAAACTGTTTGAAATTGATGACACCAAATCAGAAGATGATGACTATGTTCCAGTTTTTCATTCTCTTTTACACGACCTATTTGTTGATATTTGTGACCACTACTTGAAGATTAATCTTGTAGACTCTGTGAAATTATTTAAAGCATTATTGCCGAGGAAGAAGAAACAACCATTAAGATCAAAGATAGCTGCATTCTCTGATAAACCAGGCCCATCTACATCAAGGAAAAGGAAATCCGAGAATGACACTACACATTAGAATGAGAACTATTGATGTGTCAATTGAACCCGTGACAAAGTCTTTGTGAGAGGTTGTCAATGTGTAATGACTTTCATTTCTCTATGATGGTGTTCTCTTACAGATCATCGCTTGTGGAGATTTCAAGCAACTTCCTCCAGTTCCTGACCACTTTCATAATGATCCAGGACTTTTCTGCTTTCAGTCATGTGTGTTCAAACATGTATTTCCTCACCACCTAAATTTCCAAGATTTGATTGTTGCCATCAATGAACTCTGTAATGGACGCCCATCGGAGGAAACTCATACACTAATGAAGAATCTCAATAGACCACTCAACACAAACAAAAGACCAACCTTGCTCTTTGGGACAAATTTTGATGTAGAATATGAAAATCAGATGGCACTACATGAAGATGGGGAAAACATAAGATGTTATAGAGCGCTGGACTCGGGTGAGACACTGTTGCTGCAGCGATGTCAAGCGAAGAAGAACTTACAGTTGAAAGTGGGAGCACCTGTTATCCTCATAAGAAATGTGAAACATTCTTTGGTGAATGGTTCAAAAGGAACTGTTCTTTCTTTCACAGACAAGGGTCCAGTTGTTGATTTTGATGGCCTATGTGTACTTGTTGAACCCCTAAACTTTGAAATTTATGACTCTAACCAAAAGAAAGTGCGAGCCAACAGAAAACAGGATTTGGGAGGAGAGACGCTGCATCACTGGGCTGGGCTGTTTGATTGAAGATTTTCCAAGGAGGAGGTCCTTACTAACGTACTCAGCAATGATGCATATGGGAATTGCCTCAAAAACATAACCATTTCAGAAGTTCTCATCATTGATGAAATAGGAATGCTCAGCGCTAAACTGTTTGAGGTTCTTGAATATGTATGCAGTCATTGCCGCAGTAAAGAACATTGGTTTGGTGGCTAACAGATCATTGCTTGTGGAGATTTCAAGCAACTTCCTCCAGTTCCTGACCACTTTCATAATGATCCAGCACTTTTCTGCTTTCAGTCATGTGTGTTCAAACATATATTTCCTCACCACCTAAATTTCCAAGATTTGATTGTCGCCATCAATGAACTCTGTAATGGACGCCCATCGGAGGAAACTCATACACTAATGAAGAATCTCAATAGACCACTCAACACAAACAAAAGACCAACCTTGCTCTTTGGGACAAATTTTGATGTAGAATATGAAAATCAGATGGCACTGCATGAAGATGGGGAAAACATAATATGATATAGAGCGCTGGACTCGGGTGAGACACTGTTGCTGCAGCGATGTCAAGCGAAGAAGAACTTACAGTTGAAAGTGGGAGCACCTGTTATCCTCATAAGAAATGTGAAACATTCTTTGGTGAATGGTTCAAAAGGAACTGTTCTTTCTTTCACAGACAAGGGTCCAGTTGTTGATTTTGATGGCCTATGTGTACTTGTTGAACCCCTAAACTTTGAAATTTATGACTCTAACCAAAAGAAAGTGCGAGCCAACAGAAAACAGGATTTGGGAGGAGAGACGCTGCATCACTGGGCTGGGGTTTTTGATGGAAGATTTTCCAAGGAGGAGGTCCTTACTAACGTACTCAGCAATGATGCATATGGGAATTGCCTCAAAAACATAACCATTTCAGAAGTTCTCATCATTGATGAAATAGGAATGCTCAGCGCTAAACTGTTTGAGGTTCTTGAATATGTATGCAGTCATTGCCGCAGTAAAGAACATTGGTTTGGTGGCTAACAGATCATTGCTTGTGGAGATTTCAAGCAACTTCCTCCAGTTCCTGACCACTTTCATAATGATCCAGGACTTTTCTGCTTTCAGTCATGTGTGTTCAAACATATATTTCCTCACCACCTAAATTTCCAAGATTTGATTGTCGCCATCAATGAACTCTGTAATGGACGCCCATCGGAGGAAACTCATACACTAATGAAGAATCTCAATAGACCACTCAACACAAACAAAAGACCAACCTTGCTCTTTGGGACAAATTTTGATGTAGAATATGAAAATCAGATGGCACTGCATGAAGATGGGGAAAACATAATATGATATAGAGCGCTGGACTCGGGTGAGACACTGTTGCTGCAGCGATGTCAAGCGAAGAAGAACTTACAGTTGAAAGTGGGAGCACCTGTTATCCTCATAAGAAATGTGAAACATTCTTTGGTGAATGGTTCAAAAGGAACTGTTCTTTCTTTCACAGACAAGGGTCCAGTTGTTGATTTTGATGGCCTATGTGTACTTGTTGAACCCCTCAACTTTGAAATTTATTACTCTAACAAGAAGAAAGTGCAAGCCAACAGAAAACAGATCCCTTTACGCCTGGCCTTTGCTTTGACAGTACATCGAGCTCAGGGTATGACCATCGACCCTCTCATAGTTGATTGTGAAAGCTATTTCCTTCCGGGACAACTTGGTGTAGCTGTAGGGAGATGCATCAGCAAAGAGGGTCTACAGGTGAAGAATTACAAGGAAGATGTTGCATCAAAACAACACACAGATGAAGTCTATCATTTCTATGATGCACCCTTTTTTCCAACAATGACTGACCTAACATGCTGCAAGAAGGACAGAAACTACAATGAAATGAAGGAAACCGAAAGTGGAGATGATAGTGATGGTGACGATAGGGATGTGGATGATGCTGCTGAAGATGAAGCTGAACCATTAGTTGCGCAGGCACCTGCTGTAGAAGTTCCGGAACTGGCGGAAGATGATAAGACAAGAACTCATCTGCTGCTGGTTGACTTTTTGAAGAAAAGAGATAAGCAGAAAATTATTCTGAATCCATTGGCAGCAAATCTTCAACAGCACTTTGTTGTTTTGGAACATCAAGTCAATAAGCTCCTCAGTCAGCGGTCAGGTACGATTATTGACAAAGCTTCTCAGTGGCAGGAGGCCATCACCAAGTTAACTACTTTTCTAAATTCTCCAGGGCACCTGTCATTGAGTAAAAACCTCAGTCATTGTGATGAAATAACTGTTGAGAAGAAAATATCCTCAAAGTTGACAATGTGGATTATTGAGTGAGAGGTGGAAAAAGAGCAAGCATTATCACTTCTGAACAAAGAGAGAGAAATGTGGTCGATGTTGAAAAAATAACTGTTGAGAAGAAAATATCCTCAAAGTTGACAATGTGGATTATTGAGTGAGAGGTGGAAAAGCGAGCAAGCATTATCACTTCTGAACAAAGAGAGAGAAATGTGGTCGATGTTGAAAAAATAACTGTTGAGAAGAAAATATCCTCAAAGTTGACAATGTGGATTATTGAGTGAGAGGTGGAAAAACGAGCAAGCATTATCACTTCTGAACAAAGAGAGAGAAATGTGGTCGATGTTGAAAAAATAACTGTTGAGAAGAAAATATCCTCAAAGTTGACAATGTGGATTATTGAGTGAGAGGTGGAAAAACGAGCAAGCATTATCACTTCTGAACAAAGAGAGAGAAATGTGGTCGATGTTGAAAAAATAACTGTTGAGAAGAAAATATCCTCAAAGTTGACAATGTGGATTATTGAGTGAGAGGTGGAAAAAGAGCAAGCATTATCACTTCTGAACAAAGGAATGTGGTCGATGTTGAAGATACGACATGGTTGGAAAGAGGTGGAATTCAGATGGTGCAAGGTCAGGAGAGTGAGGAGGATGTGGAAGGATTTCATAGCCACAGGACCGCGCTTCTGTCTGGGCAACATGAGAGTTGTGTCCTGGAGCATTGTCTTGCAGGAGACGGACACCCTTGGTCAGCATGCCACACCTCTTAAGCTTGATAGCGTCCCGCTATTTCCGCAGCAGTGAAGCATAATAAGCTCCTGTAATTGTGGTACCCTTTGCCAAGAAATCCATCATCACTACTCTGTGCTGGTCCCAAAACACCGCGAGAATGAACTTGCCTGCAGAGGGTTGGACACGTGCCTTCTTTGGGGGTGGTTGACTCCACATGCTTCCATTGCATTGACTGAACTTTAGTCTAAGGATCATAGTGATAAACCCATGTTTCATCCTGTGTGATAAGTCTGTCAAAAAAGTTTGCCTGGGTTTTTTTGGCACATGTCCAAAAGATCCTTTGAGCAATTGACTCGTTCCTGCTTTTGGAAAGGTGTGAGCAACCTGGGAATCCATCGTGCAGACACCTTATGCATGTTCAAATTGTCATGGATTATTTTTCCACAGACCCTACACTGATCTTGACATCTTGTGCTTACTGGCGAACAGTTATACGTCGGTCTGCCAAAATGGCGGTCTCCACTTGATGGATAGCGTCCTCATCAATGGCTGAATGGGGGCGACCAGGAATGGCAGCTGTTTCCACAGATGTCCGACCACACTTGAACTGGCGATGCCAGTGTTTAACAACGTCATATGATTGGGCATCTTCCCCATAAGTTGCTTTCATTTCATCGAAAGTTTCTTTTGGTGTGCGACCTTTCAAATATAAAAACCTAATCACTGCTCTGTATTCTACTGGCTCTATTGTCACACCCTACTCGATCATAACACCTGTAGGGGGGCACGGGTGGCCCAGTCGTCTAAAGCGCCGCGATTCGCTGTGCAGAGTTGCGCCCCTTGGCACGCCAGAAACCTATTATTGTGGGTTCGAATCCCGGTTCGCCCCGATTGTGTTTCTAGGTTTGTCAGCACCATACCCGTGCTCGTGGGTTTCACCGAAGTGGTAAACGTCTGAGACCTGCATCACTTCGGGCTTTCCTCCCACATTAAGCTGACACGCTGCGATATAACTGGAATACTGTTAAAAGCGGCGTTAAACCCAACTCACTCACTCACTCATAACACCTGTAAAAGTGGTAAGATTAATAGTTTGGTGCTGCAAATTAAGACATAACCCATAGATACATGTATCATTACACATGTGAAATTTCAACCAAATATGATAACCCTAAGTGGTTAAGGGGAAATCTTTAATGAACACCCCTCGTAAGTACTGAATATAGATATATTTATTCAGGTGTAAATTATTCCCTCAGTTCGCCTTGTATTGTCAACTTTACATAAGAAATTAGCAATTGGGCTATAGCTTGGATAGTGTTGCATCAGCTTAATACATTTTTTGAATTTGGGATTTAAATAGAAATGCTGGTGAAGATATGTTTTCCAAAGATTGTTGTATCTCACAACATAGAAGCATATGATATTCATTCTCAACAAATACGTTTGTTTTCGTTGAACAAAATTAACATATTTGCAAAGTGGAATATTGCTATGTCTCAATAGTACTTAGTAATCAATTAGTAAGTTGAAATTATTACCAATCATGAATTATGCTTGATTAGGAAGTCTTGAATAGTCTAAATGTATGTTCTTCACTAGTATTTCACTGCTTTAGTCGTATTTATTACATTAACTGTGTACTGTTTTCATGATTGAAGAGTTATTCGCCCTCATATGGCTTAATATACAGGGTACCAATGTTGCAGCTAAAGTAATTTAATAATCCACTTTCTGTTCTCACACAAGCTGATAACTTGTTGTACATGTCACCTAGTATGTTCAGTATCTTTCCCATTAAGAATGTTTTCAGTTGATTTAATGCCACATCCATTATGATGATGTGATGTGTTTTCTCATTCAATTCATTGTTTATTATCGATAAGGGTGGTCGGGTAGCCTGGTGGTTAAAGCGTTCGCTCGTCACGCCTAAGACCCGGGTTTGATTCCCGACATGGGTACAGTGTGTGAAGCCCATTTCTGGTGTACCCCGCCGTGATATTGCTGGAATATTGCAAAAAGCGGCATAAAATCAAACTCACTCACTCAATTATTATCAATAAAGATTCATAATTTGAACATTTTTTTTGACAGTGTATACATGAATAATAATTATGCACAATGCATGAAAGCGTAGCCCCACTGAAGAAGGATGCTATTATTAGTTGTGAAACAGACATAAATGTTTTGGCCAGATATGATGTATGATACTTTGATTAATGCAATTCACAACATTACTTAAGTCATGATCAAAGGCAGTATTTTTTGGAAATGATTACAAAATAACCATTATTGTATTCTTGAATAAACATTTGTCTGTTGAACTTTAATTTTTTGTTTGTTTCTTTGCAGTTTACATAAAATCTCAGAATACTGTATCTATACAGTCGGTTCAGCTAGTTTGACTTCAGTGCCGTTATGTTCTATTTGGACATGTAAATGTTGCATTGCATTGCCAGTAAGGAAAGTATGATAGTAAATTGGGCCAGCACAGACATTTAGCTTGTTTAAATACTACCTGGTATACAGTATACTGTAAAATAACAGATTTGCATGAATAATTTGTATAATAATGTGAAAGGGGAAACTTAATAAGGGTTAGTAAAGGGGTGTGTATATAGAGACAGAAAACATACATATTTTGGGTATTTATGTGAGAATAACACTGCTGACTTAAATGTTCAATTATTTCCAACTGTCAAGCTGTGAACGTAGCCTACTGTAGTTGTTGTGGCATGTTTTGTTCGGAACCACAACTCCATTTGAAAGAAGATATAGAAGATCTTATGAGCGTGAAAATAACGTCAGTCATTATTTGTTTCCAAAAGATCAACTCATACATTGTCATCGTATTGTATCGTGTAAAATATTGGAATCAAACAGGCCTGTCCGAGTCCCTGTGTGTATGTGTTACAGTGCTGTCGGGTAAGCACCTAAGCCTGATAAAACTGATTTTATTCCCAAAATTGAGACAAAATCCCAATCTTTTTGGATAAAATATTTAAATAGCATCTGGTTGATAGCATTATAACAATTTACAAGTATCTTTATGTGTAGAATTTGCGAAATCTCCAACTAAACGGGGGCAACCCCCCTGTTTTCGTGATCGCCGGAAGTGTCAAGATCAACGAAATATTGCCTGCTACTTCGTAGTTACTTCAAATAACTGGTCCATGTTGTATTATTTCAAAGAAGGAAACATTCATGGGTAGATAACTGATGTTCAATAATTTTTTGGATTTTTTTTTATTTGCGTAAGCGGCCTTTCTCGTAACCCCCCTTATCGCCACTAAGCAAAACCAAGTTCGACGTTCTATCAGATCGCAATTTTATCCATCCGATTTTCCTTTTTAGTGAAATAAACCTTGTTACAATACAAAAAGATATTGTCAGATGATTTTACTTGTAATTCATTTTTAACGCGAAAATATCAAAACGCAGCATTACCCGACACGGCTGTAAGTCAGTGGTACAGAGAAAAATATTCTTTGCGATTGAAACAAAATGATGTCTTGACATCACATGCAATACGCTAGTAGTGTATTGAAATGAATTCTAGTGTAACATTTTGTCACTTACCAACTAATGACATTAGTGTTTTCAACCATTTACAAGAAATAGACATCGATAACGTCATTTTCACATTACGCGGACTTTTCGTAGATCCAGTACAGAGTTGCCTCCCTTAGTAGCGGTGAATTATATATTTAAAAAAATATATCCAGATATTTGCTGTTGCCATCAATAATTCTTATGACATGAAAAAATAATTTATTTCATTTTGTAGAAGAATATATTTTTTAGATGTAAAATTCACTCACCTTCAAATTGTCTCTTCATTCAGTCCGTATCATTCCGGAAGTCGTGCAAGTATGAAAGACGGACTCAGCTTCGTGTCCGATGCTTGTATATATTTTAATTAAATTGTGATGTATAGGTGGGTGTTTTTAACGTACCAAACTGGCGAAAATGCCGTTCACAAGTTAGAAAAGCAATCGGTAACTGTAGTGTCAGTGTGGGTATAATCTATCGTTCGTAGTAATTTGTTGAAAAATCGAGTCGGGCCCTGCAGTAGTTTTCTGTTGCATTCCTTCTCGCCCTTCGGGCTCGCGTGTGGAGATGGTCATGAATATGCATGAGGGCGTCTATTTTTAGATACGGACTCCTGTGATCGGTGTAATACAGCTGTATGTTTATTAAACGGGTGATCTCTTCACGGGCAAGTAATAAACTACCATAGAGGGTACATCAACCCATAACATCAACAAACATAGAGGGTACATCAACCCATAACATCAACAAACATAG